TCTCTTTCTCTTTCTCTTTCTCTTTCTCTTTCTCTTTCTCTTTCTCTTTCTCTTTCTCTTTCTCTTCTCTTCTCTTCTCTTCTCTTCTCTTCTCTTCTCTTCTCTTCTCTTCTCTTCTCTTCTCTTCTCTTCTCTTCTCTTCTCTTCTTTCTCTTCTCTTCTTTTTGCTATGCATCTCTGTTTCTGTTGTTTCACTTCTTCCTGGTGGAGACATTGCCTTTGACCACTAAAAGTAATTTTTACACCTAAAGAAACAGAGTGCATTATTTAGAATGGACATAAATAATATGATATATATATAAATAATAGGATTATTTACATATATATTTACATTAAAACATACTTGTATTTATTTAAATTAGAATTAAGAAATAAACCCAGATACTTCAGTAGACTGAATAGTGAGCAAAGCAGATGTATTGAACTCTTAATTCCATGGGAAACTGACACTAAGACCTCATCCTCCAGGGTGCATCCCAATGTCCTTGTGAATGTGTCTAGCTTTATGCTTAAGTCTACCCTTAAGCATAAAAATTGAAACCAATAAATTATTGTCTTTTAGCAAAATACATTGAGGATATTGATCACTGTATTATTCATAAGATTTGATTATCTGATATATTATTTCTTGACCAAAATGTATGCAAATATATAATAGATATTTTTATATTAGTTTTAAATGACCATTATTAAGTTCTATGAAGCTGTGTTTTGTTTGAGTGTATAAATTAGCTTGCAGTGTGAAATTCGACTAATTTTAGACTTGGAATTACCAGCAAGTTTGCAGATTTTTTTTCCTCATTCTGGCCAATTATTATCAAATAATATGCCAAGGGCCATTTTATTTTTCTGAATATGTGATCATATCCTAACAACTACTCCCTGAAGTGTCTGGAGTACAAATCTCATTTTATGTGTATTAAAAACAGTAGGGAATCTCAAATCAGCTCACTAAATAGCTTTTCTGCAACACCTTATTGAGGAAGAGAAAACTAATATAATTGCTATTTTGCTGTTCTGAAAGCTTTAAATCTGGCAGCCACTGAATTCCAAGCTTTTATTGTTTCTGCATGAAGGCCATTTGAAGGTGAAATGAGAATAAACTTGATTTTATTAAAATTTGTATTAAATTGACTAGAATGTTTGTCTCAGGGAGTGGTGTTGCACTTTGCAAGCAATACTCAAGATCTGATGGGAGAAAATAAATTGATTAATTAGAATGAAATGTTTAATACCATTAAATAAATCTAAAGTTTGATGATTTACAGCTCAAGAAAAACAGTGGTGTACACTTACCAGTTTTCAGATTAGATTTAGATACAGCCAGACTTCTCTTGTAAACAAATCAATGTATTACATTATTATTCACAGATCTGCTTTGTACCTGCTTTTCATTTTGTGTCAAGTTATCTGATAGGAGGCAGCATTAGGAATACCCTTGGGCCAGTCACTTTATCTCTTTGTGCTTACGTTTATCTTCTGTGTTAAGTTTTGACGAGGTTTTTCTGTCCTTTGTGAGCATTGTGAGCTCCAGAGAGCAATGCCAGTGGTAGCTGTGCAGACTATAGTCTCAATGCAGTAGCTGAAAGTTATGGGTATTTTTTAATAAACATTGTTCAGTTTCTTTAATGCCTCTAAGAGGTGTCAGTTTTACAAATGGAATTTTGACTGAAAAGGATAATATTACTATCCATGGGGTGAGGGACAGGTGGTTGTCCTGTAAATGGAATCCAGAAAAAATATTCAATATTCCCTGAATATCAAGGTCTTGTTTCTGCATTGGTTCTGGTTAAAAAAGGACTTGACATTAACTTCATTTTTTTTTAAATTATGGGAGTGTAGAGTATGTGAATGTTTACCGGCACATCTTCAGCTGTAAAATAACAGCTGCTTTTGATCATTACATTTTGAGTGTCCATTCCTCATAATCTGAAAAATTCATGTGAGTTTGTTATTGTATTCTGCTTCCCTTTCTGCTCCTCTATTGCCTCCATTAATCCACTTGAACTGAGAGGGAAAGCCAGCAAAATTTATTTGTGCAGAATTTACAGATAAACAATCAGAATTTGCCAAGATGGGACAACATGAAAGTAAATGTGTAAATTACAACTGGATTGCATTGAAAAAAAAATTAATAATTCATTTCAGTGCTCCTGTGAGAGAACATAAGTATCATTTAAGGGATCACTATATGGGGTAGGAGAGGAAGATCAGGGTTTTTTTCATTATTGCTGCCAAATACAATTCACACTCTTATTTCAACACAGAATTCTTTCAGAAATTAGAATTAAATTAACCTTGATAATTATTTGAAAAAAAAACGAAAAATGGAAATTACTTTTCTGAAAATACCAACAGAAATGTGTGGGAATAGATATTACACTGATATATACTGATATTGTTAGTATTTGTAATTTTGAAAATGAAATTCACAAACAGGTATAATTCCTTTCCCTTCTTCTCACCTGGCAAATCAGTTCTGAAGTACTGAATGCAATAGAAAATACCATCTTCATGTGACTTGAAGTGAATTTTGTATTCCTGTACAAAAAAATGTTTGCACGGGTAAAGGTATTTACACATTGTGTAGATATACTGCTCATATGGTACATAGAGATAGCTGCTGTATGCACATATACACATATATACACATATGTCCACACAGATGTGTTGGTTTTCTATAAAAGTCATCTGTGATTTTAAATTAATCCATCATTAAATGATGTTAATAAAACCTGAGATGCTCACAAGTTCCCAAGAAACAGTCTGTGCCTTGGAGGCTGAAGTTCACTCTGAATTAGTCAACAAACAAGAAATCACCTGTACCAGTATAATTACAGCATCAGATGTGCTGGGGCTACAATCCACTGAATGTCCTTCAGCTGCTTGACTGGACTTTGCATTAAGTTTCTTTTTCAGCAAGTGCTTGTTTGTGGTATTCCATTATATACCTGTCAGTCTAGGGCATTAAGAGTGGTGGACATCAGTGACCTGTTAGGAAATCTCTCTCTGACATCTGTTCTTACATCTATACTGTGAAGTGGAGGAAAGCACAGTTTGGCTTGTAGGAATGACAAAACATGTACATTAAAAGGATTCTTCTGTATCCTGAAGTATTTATGGTGCTTCTTACTGTTCTATGTCTGAAAGAAATAACAAAATTTACCAAGATAGTAATGTTTCTGGTGAGTTTTCATGTTAATTCTGTGTAGCCAATGAAAAATTCATAAAGCTCACAAGAAAAATATTAAGGGTCAGTAGTTCAGGCTATAGTATATATATGGGTACATAATGCACTGTGCATTTCAAAATCTGACAGTTTGGTTTTCTATGAACGCTTTATTCTCAATTTTACAAGGTCAAATAAAATAATACCTGTCTGAAAAATAAGGAGTATTCTCTAACAGTATTTTTTCTACAAGCAGCAATGTTCTCCCAAAGTTTTTAAGAATATATTTTAGATATATTTTTGTTCGAATTAACTGCTTGAGTAGCAGAAGCATTTCAGTATATGTGTTGTATTCTATTACCTAGAGAATTAGTCAAGATTTATTCTGAAATTAGACTTGTCTGAAAGAATGTATTTAAATTGCAAAGTTTTCACTTCTAACTCATGAAGCCTGAAAGCCCATGAAAAAAAGCAATAAAATTAAGGATGAAATAAATATTCAGTGAATGTATGCAAATTGGGAAGATTTCTACATTAGTCTTAATGTGCCTGACAAGATTTGTTTCTGGCATTTTTTTTGTTTTCACCTACTAATGTTGTTGAAATAGTACTTATTTATTTTTTATTATATTCCACATGTAAATTTTATTTCTCAGTTTTCTTTCCTTTCCCCCCATTTAAGATTCCAGAGGCTTATTTTATTAGAGATCCTCATACTTTCCTCCTTACAAAGGACTTTATTAAGGTATATATGTTCTTTTCTGTGCAAAAAAAAAAAAAACCACCCCAAAAGCTCTCTCAAGACCTGAACTGCATGTCCTCACAGGTTAACATTTTCACATATAACGCCGGTTACTGGAGATGAGAATGGTTAGTTGGTTAACTGAAGCATGCTTGAAAGGAGAAGCAAAGCTTGTCTACAAAATACTAACACTTGGATGAGTCTGCAGCCTGGGAGGAGAGCACCGGGTGAATTTTCTGGACTTTTTTCATGGCTGACTTGGGATATGCCTGCATTGTCACACAGTGTGTTGACCTCTCTCCTTGATGCATATTGCTCCTGACAGTCCCTCTCCTTTGCCCGCAGGCCATGGAGGCGCAGATACAGAACTTTGGACAGACGCCATCGCAGTTGCTCATTGAGCCCCATCCACCTCGGAGCTCTGCCATGCACCTGGTGAGACATGACTGCTGGCTGGGAATGCATTCCCTTTGAACCTTAGGATCCCTTGTAGGTCATAAAGTACTCATTAAAGCAACACTTTTAATGGCCCCCATTGCCCGTGCAGCCATACTTGCTTCGTGTAGCAACAAATCATAGGGCTCTAGCAGAGCAGGGTGGAGGTGTGACTAGCTTTATCTTCACGTAGTCCTGGGTTTTCCTTACCAATGTAGATAAAGGAAGCCTCATCTTAAAACATCTAAACTTGAGAAATACACATTTGCATTCTTGTTTCTGCAAGTGGAGGAGACTGAAAGACTGCAGTCTTTCCTTAGAGTGAGAATGTTTTGTTTTAAACGATGCATTGTTAGGGGCTGATTTATGAACAATGTCTGCTTGACAAAAATGAAGTATTGGAGTTCAAATCGTGCTGGAATCCTCCTGTCTATTCCCCCAGGAGAATGAAATGTATAGTTTGAGTTTCAATTCAAACTCCAAAATTCATTTCCATCACATTCTTCTCTATGCTGCTTGCAAAGAATTGTATGAAATAGCCAGACTGAACAAGACAGATTTCCGTGCCCCTGAATGCCTTTGATAAAATGCTTAGAGCTAGATTTTTTTTAAGCTTTGTAAATCAACAGTAATGCATGGAGTAGTTTCAATCATTTTATCTATATATAAGGAAATCTCTCTATCCAGCTGTACATTGTGAAAGTGGAAATTGATTGGAAGTGGTTGTTGTATTATTTTAAGTGTGTACAAGTCAAATTTAGGTAATATTTTTTTTGCATTCTTAAGATATGGATAATATATTTTTAATAATTCAAGGTGATAAGCAGAAAGGAATATTTGACCTTTTAGAAATAGTTCACTTTGTTCTAACAGTGGCTGAAAAAAAACCAAACCTTAAAACCAGTACTCAATAATAATTCTTGTCCATGTACAAACAATTGTGTCATTTGTAGAATCATAAAACAGGTTTGGGTTATTATAAACTTATTAGGTTATAGACTCCCTAATAAGAATACACTTTACATAGAATTAAATTGTCTATGTTTGGAAGTGCTGTATTTCATATAAGGAACTCATTAAGAAAAATGTCTGTGTTTTTGAGTCACTCTTAAAATTTCTTCTTTCAACTGTTGTAGTTTAGAAAATTAATATTTACTGTGTATTAATTGATTAACTCATTAGGACATATCTCTATTTTATGAATATTAACTACTGAATAATTTTACATTTTACTGTATGCTAATTAATGCTAATGGTCATTTTGTACCCTATAATGATAACCCTTACCATACCTATTCTCTGTTTATCCTCGTGTAATGTTCCAATAATAGCTTGTGATCTTGCTCTCCTCCATCACTAGAGTAGATGCACAGGTAGTGTTGTTTTCCCTGTATGTGCACATGCTTGCCTGCTATTTTTTAACCTTGCTTTCCCTCAGACCTCCTCACTAATTGTGTTATCCCTTCTGTTTTCTTCTGCTCTCTTCTCCTTTCTACTCAACAGTGTTTCCTTCCACAGAGCCCCCTCATGTTTAAAGATCAGATGCAGCAGGATGTCATCATGGTGCTGAAGTTCCCATCAAATTCCCCTGTCACACACGTGGCAGCCAACACGCTGCCCCACCTGACCATCCCTGCCGTGGTGACTGTCACTTGCAGCAGGCTGTTTGCTGTCAATCGGTGGCACAACACAGTAGGTAGGTCCTCGCAGGCACATTTCATTCAAATTTGAAGACCTTAACAATGCAGCTTTAATTCTGAGTGCAATTTAGCTCACTCGCCTGCCTGCACACCAAAATTTACTGTTTTGTCTGGTTTTTGTGAAATAATCACAGCTTCTGTTTTCTCTGGTGTCATTCCTAGAAACACTCTCCTTAACAGCAGCACATCACCATGGCAGCCAATCGATTTGTGGTTCCTTCAGGATCAGTCTTTGACATAATGCTTTTCAGGAGACTGCTGTTGCTCTCTACACAGCAAATATTAGTATGTCCCAGGTTTCAGGAATACATACTGGCATGCTAGAGAGGATACATCCCTAAATGCTGCTTGAGAGAGATTTCAGCATCTTGTCATAAACCTTCCCCTGGGTCTCTGTTGGATTATCCAGTTTAGCAAGCCTAAACAGCTGGACATTTTCTCACAAAAGCCCATCCAACAGGGCCATCCCAAAATGCCCTTCCAGACCCTTGGCTGACCTCTCCATATTGCCATTAAGACTGACACGTCCATATCATCTGGGCATGAAGGTGCTAAGGCTGTTCCAGGGATCACTAGATAGGTGGTGGGGCCATGAGGTACATCAGGGAAAAAACAGGCTCAATTTTTTCAGGTAGTTTCCTGCAGTGATAGCCCTTATGCTGCAATACCTGGAAACATTTCTAATACTCCATCAGGTGCAACTTCATTACATGTAAAAAAACATTTTTTCCTATTTTTTTTAAAAAAGGTTAAAATCTAGAGGGGAAAAAACCCTACAACATTTTTAAAGTATTTTGTGACAATGTCCTCAATGGAAGGTTCCAATGTCAGGAATGATTCAGAGGTGCAGAAACTGTCCTGTGTTGTTCTAATACACCTTTGACTAACATCAATTGGCTAATTCCTAATTATTTTCCGTCAATTTTCAGGGATTCTGTCCAAATACTCTATATCCATCATCATTCATGTCTCCTCTATTTGAGGAAGCTTATTTAGATCTGGAGTAGCCCTTTCTCATCCAAATTGTCAAAGTCAAGAGAACCCAAAATTCCAACCATACTTTACTGTGAAGGAATTAATCTCATTAATACTGCAGTATGCAGAAGTTTGAGGGTTTCCTTAAAAACTGTCATTTGAAGTCCTTTAATTTAGCTGAAGCTTTATTGGTCCTCATGATGCATGTGAAAGTAAGGTCTTAAATTTTCCTCTATACACTTGTAAAACATAAGTGATGTTGCAAACATTCAGAATTCAAGGCATAAATTAAATTTTACACCATCTGTAAACCTCTGGTCTAAATTGCGGAAATTAAAAAAAAAAAGTAAGGAAGACTTTCTAAATATATTATAATAGAAAGTGAGGAAAATGAAACTATTTTGAGTATCAAACCTCATTGTAATGATTTTCTTAACTTTTACATCCTGCTTGGCAATCTTGCTTATTTTGCAGGAGGCTAATCCAGGACAGGGCATCAATTTCCTACTGTTGCCATAATATTATTTTAACAAAGCGTAACTCTAGTATAAAGGATAGGTTTATATACAGAAATGTATGCACAGACTGCTTGTTGTCAAATGTATGTAGAGCTTTGGAATTAATAAACAGCAGGAGGTATTTACATAGACATCTTATAATAGAAGTGAATGAATGTAAGTTAATACCGGTAAAGATCTGTCCCAAACTGCTTGGGTTTTGAAAGAAGAGACAGAAAGAAGGGAAGGAGAAGTTCTCAGAGCAGTGCCTTTCTGAAAACGGCAGAGCTAGCTTTTCTTTTACCTCTTCCAATTGTCTACTGCAGTAGTAGAAAATGGACTTTATTCTTCAGAAATCTGTATGTCCTATTATTGAGGGTATTCGTGTGTAATGTGGCAGTTCCTGGCAAAAATTGTGTTTCCAGTAGTGACTATTTGATTTATATAGCAGGGAAGGTGCTCAGAAGAGCCAAAGCAATGCTATCTCTGCGTGAGAGCAGATAACACTAAATTTTCAGCCCCTGATGCACATTTGAACATCTTAAGAATAGAATTAACAGCAATAATTGTGGCACATATACTGTAGCCTACAGTTTTACATCTAAAAATGTTAGATAAATCCATGAAAAGGTCCAAGTTTCTGTCATATACAGGTTTCCATATGTAAGAAACTCATAACAATGTTTAATCTAATTAACTTTATTTTCTGTGCTAAGATCTCTGATCAAAAGTAAAAAAAAAAAGTCTCATGCTATTTTAAATGAGTTATTTAATGAATGTGTGTGGCTGCAAAAGTTGTGATGAAGTTGTTGCTTCTACATTTATAATTACTTTTACATAAAGGAAGAATTAACAAATGAATACTTGTGTAGCACAGAGGAAGAAATCTTAAAATATTAATAAAGCAAATAGTAAAAAGTTACTTTCTAAAAATATATAATAATCCAATAATAAATTTTTAAACCTAGAAAAGTCATGTCAAAAGGTTTCTATATGCTTTATTCTTCCTCTCATGTGTAGGTCTTCGGGGAGCCCCAGGATATTCTTTGGATCAAGCCCATCATCTTCCAATTGAAATGGATCCATTGATCGGTATGTCAAGATGAAAATGTAGCAATATATTTGAAATTGGCATTTTCAGGAATTATTGATTAAGCTGTATTTGTATATTATGCTTCGTTTAACACAGAAAATAGGAAAATATTTATTCTTGTCAGTCCTGGAGAACTAAAAGCATTAGCTATTGATGCTGAATGAATTACATGAGTGCTATTTGTTATTAACATCACCAGCAACTGGTATTTAAGAAACCAATTAAGTCAGTTACATTGTCAGCCCATATCTATAATTCTGTTCTCTTATCAAGTCACATTAGTAAAATAAAGCATAAGGGTCCTGTGGAGTTAGCTGTTTTGTTTTTTTTCTCCAGCCAGCACTATGTTTATCAGTGCAGATGCAAATCCATTTATTTTCATTCACTTTATGATTTGGATTTAGTTGACAATACTAATTTAATAATGAAAACACTTCTTTTTAAATTGATAGTATTTTTTAAAATCCAGAATTTTTGAGAAAGTGAATTATTTGAGAAATAGAGTCTGCAAAAATTGCTTGATTGCAGGACTTCCTTACTATCATAAATTTTCATTAATTGCACTTATTTTGTTTGTGCTGGGGGAGGGAGTTCAGTAATTTGAAACAGAAAGTTGGGATAGGGAAGGTTCTTAGGGGCGAGTATGCAGCATTGTTGAGAAAAAAGTACATTTTTAAACATAGCCAAATAAAAAGTTCCTTTTTCCTCTATGTCAATATTCATGTTCAAAAGATTAACATAGAAGTACAACAGGAGAGTTAGCTTTCTCGTTCTGTGTACTTCATTTGCTCTCATATAATGACAGTGGTTTTCTCTTTAGGTTTTTCTCTCACTAGCTAAAGCACAACTATTGCACCCATCTGTTCTGGAAATTTGAGTAATTTGTTATTCATTACCTTTCAGCTGGTGGACATAGAGGGTCTGGTAATTTAAATATGTGTTCTTAGAATGTATGTAAACATGATATTAACTTCCACAAGCAACTTTTAAATAGAATGGAGTGTGGGGGGGTGGTGGGTTGGCTGAATCTCTTATTTCATGAAGTTGTGAGCAGTTTAAGTAGAATAGCAAAAACTAGGGAAAAATCGGATTATTATCTGCATTAAGTTGTGTTCTTATGTTAGGAGAAACATATTTCTCACAGTGATTTTTACCTCCCTAACTCTGGCTAAAGTTCATTGTCAAGATTCCCTCCCTAACTACTGTAGAAAGACAAACTCTCCTCTGGAGTTGTCTAGCACTTAGACAGCTATTACAGTGTGAGGTGACTTGTCATGTGAAAAAATGTCTTCTTTCTCCAGTGAGACTGGAAGGAGTGGATAAAATTAACTTAAATTACATACTAAACTTCCAGAAAGTTAATATTGAGATGGAGCACACTTTTATGGTGTCGCCGTATCTTGTCAGTTCTGTCACAGGGAAGATAAATCACATTTTCTGGGGACTCCCAGAGGTTAATATCCTTCTAAACAACTCCGTTTGGCAGCTGGATTGGTGGGATTTTGCATGAACAAAAACTTGAATGAAACTCCTCTTTTCCCTCTGTCCGAGGGAGTTTCTATGTGTCATTGCCTCTTTTTAAAGTACCATCCATGGCCTGGGTCCCTGCTTGAGGAACAGATGACAAGACTTAGTTTCCCTGGACTGGAAAATCACATTAGGTTTGAATAGATTTGTGGAATCATAAAATGTGCTGAGTTGAAAGAAACCCATCAGGAGCATCAAGTCCAACTCCTGGTCCTGTGCAGGACCTTCCCTAAGAGTCACACCGTGTGCCTGAGAGCACATTAGCTATTGTGTGTATATTAGCTTGGACTCTGTCAGGCTGATGCTGTGACCACTTCCCTGAGCAGCCTGTTCCAGTGCTCAGCCACCCTCTGGGTAAAAACCCATTTTCCTGATACCCAATACAAACATCCCCTAACTCAGATTCATGCCTTTTCCTTGAGTCCTGTCCCTGGTCACAAGAGTAAAGAGATCAGTACCTGCTCCTCTGCTTCCCATCGTGAGGATGCTGAAGACCACAATGAGGTCTCCCCTCCTTCATTGGTTGAGTCCTTATGTCTTTAATCTGGAAGTGTGGGGTTGTCAAGGCCACACAATACAAGCTGTTTTCTGTAGAAGAGATACAAGCCAGCAAGAGTTGGCTCTCTGCAGTATAGTTATTATTGATTAAATGTTTTATATGGACTTCTGCCACTTTCCCCTGGTTCAGTTTGGCTTGGGGGACTACTTCTGCAGAACACTAAAATTATTACTACATATTATGCAGTACATCAGGCAGCTTATAAGAAATTGTCATCTCCTGTAAAATCTTATCTCTTATTCAAATAATTTTGTATTTCTGACACCCATATAGACAGCTCTAAATGTTCTTATTCAAAATGCTTACTCAACAACAAATTCACAGTTCATTGAAAGTTAAATGTATTCATTTTCTCCTGTAAATGGATGACAGGAAGGTGTTGGAATGGCTTACATGTAAAATGTGTTTTGCATTTCGTTACAGCCAATAACTCTGGTGTGAACAAACGTCAGATCACAGACCTTGTGGATCAGAGCATCCAGATCAATGCGCATTGCTTCGTGGTCACGGCAGATAATCGCTACATCCTTATCTGTGGTTTCTGGGACAAGAGCTTTCGAGTTTATTCCACAGAAACAGGTGACCTCAAATACAGCGCTCTGGCTCTTCCTGGGTCACAAAGTGAACAAAGACTATTGTCTCAATAGTACCGTGTCTATCACTTGTGCTTACACGTCAAAAAATGATAAATGGCAGTTTGTAAAATCCTTCATTATTGTTTCAGCATGACAAATTTAAGATATTTTTTTTATGGGAGATAAAGGATGTAAAAGGAAATAGAATGCAGTTTTATTAATAATAACTTTTGAAAACCATAGTTATTTTCAGGAAATTTATCATATCAAAAGGACCAACCAAAATTTTTGTTGCAATATTTCATGGTTCTATTATTTCTAGCTCTATTTATTTCATGTAGTAAGGAATTAGGTTGAATATCTTGCTACAGGAGCCAGTATTTTGTTGCTTTGTCTGATTACTTAGCCTAATATTACACAGTATATTGCTAAAAACTAATTGTAATAATAGAAAGGAGGAGGTGATAATCATAGTAAACTTTAGTTTGACATTAACATAGAACAAATACACATTTTTAACATAATAATGTAGCACAATTATGGAAAAGTTCATGTGCAGTCTTATGCATATCACTCATGAAATTCATAAATACTGTACTAATGCCATGGCTTAAATGCTGATGGAGCCGTAACTCCACTTAATATTCAGTGACTGCAGCACTGCCTTGATCTTTAGAGATAAGGGTTAGGCTGTGGATTAACACAGAGAACAGCCTTCAGTAGGAATGGAAAAAAAAGGTGGGAAAAAAAGTTTAATCTTTGTGATTTTTTAATCTCATAGCATTTAGTGAACTTTAATTACGGGACATGAGACCAAAGTTACATTTGAACTGAATATTAATTACGTAGTTAATGATTTCTAAATGCTGCAAGTACCTCAGAAAACTGAATTTGTATGACTTTGCGTTCCCACCAGGAAAATTAACTCAGATTGTGTTTGGCCACTGGGATGTCGTGACTTGCCTCGCCAGGTCGGAGTCCTACATCGGGGGTGATTGCTACATCGTGTCCGGGTCTCGTGATGCTACATTGCTGCTTTGGTACTGGAGTGGCCGACATCATATTATAGGTGACAATCCAAACAGCAGTAAGTATCCTTTAAATAACACCTCTCTCAGAGATTTTCTGTCACTCCTATTTGTTTTAACATTCCTTCTTTCAGCTTCAGAAGCAATCACCAAATATATCAGTAGCTTTGCTTACAAGTTGAAAGTTGGTATAAGAAGAGAGCCACATGCTAAACAATACATGGATTGCTAGCTAAAAAAATATTTAAACACTCTTTGTATGTTAAGAGATAATGGGATGGGAGTATAGTTCCTAAGTTTGTAATTGCCTTTATCACTTATAACATCATGTCATCATAAACTAGAACAGGATGGTTGTGGCCTTTAAGCGACAGGACATATATCACTATATTTTGACTTGCCTTTCCCTGGAAATATTTTTTGGCATTTTAACTTACTCCTTTTGTGCTACAGCATGCTATATCAGCTGTTTGCCTCTTCAAAAAAGGAACGTCTCACATGCCATGGAATTAAATGAGACTCTCTTGAGAAAGGTCTTTCTATAGTTTGGGGAGGCAATCTGACTGAATAAAAATAGAAAAAGATAAAATGTCAGGAAAAGTTTACATTTAATTTGCATGGGACTAACTATCAGTGCTCTGCAGAGTGAGGGGGGCACAATAATAGTATTAATTTATATAAAAGGGCACTTAAAGTGCACCACTAATTTAAAGATCCCATCACCCAAGCCAGAGATATGGCTGCAGCTAAAGAGCAGGTTTGATCCCTATACTAGAAGTATTGAAGTGTTTTATGCAACACTTAATCCATTTCACTTAAAGAATTTTCTGATTTCTAATGATAATTTTCAACAGAAGGGTTTTGTCTTTGGATAAAAATGGAAGAATCTGTTGCTATCAGTTTTGATCTCTGATTCAAATACTGACTGGAGGCAGTACTGTCATTTACAGACATCCAAGTGAATGGCTGGTAGAAAAGTGGTTTATTTATTTCAAAGCAAATATTTTGTCAATTTTGCAGCAGGAAACTTTTTATTGAATTTTGATTTCTTTTTTTCCATTTGTCTGTAAGCAGAGTAAAAGGGAGAGAAATAAAAGCCTTGCTTTCACACCAGATTTTATTTGCTTTTATAACAGAGGAAATAGAGAGGAAAAATAAAATGGTGTTCAAATAACAAATTTCTCTAATTTTTGTCTGTATTCCATTACTTTTATAGTACGTAATTCTCCAATATAGATAAATTCAGTCTGACAAGGATTTTCATGTCTTAGCAGTCTGTTTAGGTTGATATAATTTTTCTTCCTGACAGAAAAAAAATGTAAGATTTTTTTCCTTACCTCCTTAGATTACAAAGCGCTTGGACAGCCTTGGAATTAGCATCTCCTTTCTGGCTCATACAAACTGCTTCAATTCTTTTCCAGATAGAATTATTTTAGTTCTGGTATTATTCTGTCATCACTTACATATCTGAATGCACTAAAGTGGTACTTTTTGATATCTCAGATTTAATATCTTAGCTGTATAAATTTGGAATTGTCTGTCTTGGAGGTCTTTAATTTTATGAAAGGAAGGATATGACCCGGCTGACAGAAATAAATGAAAACAAAAATTACTTGTATGACTTTCTCTCTGTCTCTACTTCTATATGGATAATGCATTGTTTTGCCAAAGAAATGGCCCTATGGTCAGATTAATGAGAGATTGTGATGCAGATAGTCCTGTCCAGTCAAATGAAATCTTACAGGCACAGGCAACAGAACTCAGGAAGACTAAGTACCAAAGGCCGCTTTGAAATACATAAGTGGTAGCTTTGAAATATATTGATAAGATTTTTTAATATTCATGTTGAAGACATGTTGAAGATTCATGCTGGGGAAGAGTGATGGCATTTCTATTATTTCTATCTCTATTCATTGGATTGAAACTACGATGGAGATGCTAATTATATACTAGTACTGTATTATAACCAGAACTACATGTGTTGGAAACATACCATTACTAACAGCTGCTTTGACTTTTCATGAATATACATTAATGGGGATAGATTACAAAAACAAAGGGCCTTTAAAAAAAAGGCCTTTAAAAGCTTCTACAATTACTAATGTTTCTGCTGAAATAATGATAGTAGTTTATACTTGCTACCATGAGCAGACATGATAGCTGTCATATGACTAAGATTCCCTTTAAACTAATTTCCAAGTGTGAAGTATTCTCAACAATCCTTATGAAAATATGTTTGGAGTTTTACAGAGGTAAAGCCACCAAAGTAATAAAGAAATATTTCCTACTCTACTCTTCTATAGCTGCTGTTAGAAGGTTAAGATTTACCTTGCAGGGAAAATGAAAGTGATATGATCAATGTAGATCAGATCAAATTACTTAACATCTTTAGAATGAATTTCCAGAAAGATGTAGATGATCTTTTCAGAGGGGGGAAAAAAGGGGTATTTTTTTTTTTTTAAATCTGTCATCTGGAGATACAGATGAGATGTTTTATACCACAGGATATAAGAAGGTGAAGAAGTCAAAGGAAGATGTCAGGTATAGTAATTATCTGGGTTAGATGTTTGACTTTATAATTATCTTTTAAGCTGAAAGACGGTTAATTATCAATTTCTGCTTCAATACATCCAGTTACCTAAACAAACTTTAGTTGTTTCAGAAAATCTTAGAGGGGAGAAAAAGCAAACCTCCAGTCCTAAACGGTTTGTGTGGTATAACATTTCTGTAGAAAAATGTAGATATTATTTCATTCAAAAACATCAATTTATTGTGAAAACAACAAATATCACAAACAATCATTTATGTGAAATACTCTCAGGCAAAAGATTGTCAGATCAAATTTCTTACAGATTCTGCTAAAATTAGTATTCCAGAATCCATAAGGTAAATGAAATATTTACTAAAAAACATGTATGTCAACAACCTAACCTGTCAGACTTCTGTAGAACCTTCTGCTGAAATACCTGTACAGGCTCAGTGGGTCACCTCAGTTTGGTCTGTGGAAATACAGAACCAGCTCTTGTTGAAAGACGAGAATTGAGAATATATGCAAGTGATTGCTCTAGTCCAGCAGTTAAAAGCTTGCCTATGAGAGCATGGCAAGCTTTTAACTACTTCATTTTATTATTTTATAAAATTATAAATAAATAAATTAATTAATTAAAATTTAAATTAAAAAAATAAAATTATAAAACTTCATTTTATAATTTTAAAATATTTTTTCCAATCAATACATTTCTTATAAGTTATAATTTTTTGTTCTACATTAAGTGTCAAAAATTAGTATCTGATTTAGTTTGAACTTGGCACAATTTCTTGGCACCTCTCACAATCACTGTGAGAAGAATGAAGGTTTACCAGATTTTAAATGCATTTTTTTCTATACAGTAGCTTTCTGAAACAGCTTGTAGGAAATCTTCTGGTTAGTGGTTAGTATTTGTGCAGGAAGGACTGTGTTCCTGACCTCTAGAGACTGAGGGAATTAAAGCCCTCATTCCCATGTTCACAATCAAGTGCTGACTATCAGCTATAAGCTGACATAGGACGGGCCCCTGAGAATCTCCAGATTTGGTAGGAAGCAAAATTCTTTTCTATGCTCATACTTATGCATGTCACATGTCATGATGATTGGATATAGAGATAAATCAGGAAATCAGGAGCAACATGCTGCATTCCTTCAATGGCAGCATGTAGGGCAAATCTTGTCCCTGTTTGTACTTCCTCTGCTTCAACATTGTTTTCATGGCCATGCCGTTGCTAAGCTCCAATAGGAGTGATGTTGGAGGTCCTGTTAAGAGAGGCTGGTGTTTGGCAAAGCTTCTGGAAAGAAAGAGATGTGACATGCTTTCCTGAAGGGAAGTTCAGTGCAGGTTTCATGTACGTTTGACATTCCCTTTGTTTTTTTATCCTTCCTTCCTTAAGTACCACCTTTTGGAAAAACATGGAACCTAATGAAGCTTAGTCCTCTTGCCAGGGTCTGACATATACTTTCTAAGCCAAAATTTCCCGTCTGAAATAGCTAATCTGAATCTGCACCTTATTAAGTTGATGACCACGTTGTATAAATCTGCTGCATCTGTGAGAACAGTGAAAGGTGTCTGTTTTCTCTTAGTAAGATACATGCAAAGGACATAGTTTGCTTATTTTATTTGTTTGAAGTGATATGGTAAATGTAAATCTTTGCAGTTCTCAGAGACTGAATAGAAAAATTATTGTGATGGAGTTTGACAATTTTTGTTTTGATTTTTCTTCTCTTTCTATTTGTTTTAGCTGAGTGCTAATTTGTATACAAATTTCCTCTCACATGGCAACTGTATTAGTCATCACAAAAATGAGCAAAGAAAGTACATGATATGCCCTGGAGTTCAACATGTATCATTATAGCTGTTTCATTTTTATATTTTATGATTACTTTATTGAATGCTTCTTTCAAACAAGTGACTTTGAAAATGAGAATTATCTCAGTCTTTGAACAGATATACCAAAGTGGATGATAGAATTGCAGAAAAGTGAGGGACAGATGCTTTCATCTGAAACAGACACAAATTCAGAAACTAATTTGGAAGTGATAAAAATTAATTTGCACACTTTAATTGGAATCAGACTCCTGCATGAAAGAAAGGGAGGGTAGGCAGCTTGTGCTAAATGCTGATTGAATTTTTTGTCAGGTAAGTATGTTGGACCTGGCCGCTTATCCTCTTGAGCCTCTCCATGCAATACATTACATTCACCCTCTGACTGGTGTTCTTTAAAAGGATCAATGCTATTCCTGTTTTTTTCTCTAGAGCCTGAAATTTCATTGATCTTGGGACTTGACATTTCTCATTACCTATTGTAGCTTCCAAGAGGATGGTCACAAGAGGTGTGGGAGTTAACCCCACTTTTTCTAACAGCAACTGTACTGACCATTGAAAAATGCTGTGTCTATCAGGCATAAGATGGGTTTGTTTAGTATTATGACATTATCTTCACAGGTACTAAAAATACATCCTGTTCCAGTGAGTGTATTCAGTATATAACTGAAAGGAAGGGTAAATTTTACCATAAAATATCTTTG